GCACGAAGATCTTGTATAGTTTGTACTCATACAAACAGACGAGAGAAAAAACGTACCGATACACGTTATCAGTATGATGTTTGTGATGTTGGACTTTGTGTAATAGGTTGTTTTGAAGATTATCATACTCTGAAACATTTCTAAATGCTTCTATGGAACAATAAAATTTGTTTCAGATATTTTTTGAAAGGAAAAAAACATCTTATTTTTTTCAAAAAAACCCCGACGCCAAAGGGTTAATGATCATCGTGAAACGACGAATCACAATATGTAGCATAAAGTCGAAGAAAAACTTCACTTGAACTTTGCATTATGTACATCTTATGTTCTTAGTAGGTCTAAATCTTCAGCTTTATTTTGCATGTATTTTTTTCAACTCCCACTTCTGCAGGTTATTTTTATTGTAATAAATACAATGATCCACAGTTATCCTTATATAGGTCCTAGATCTTCTGGAGAGTTATTTTATTACTAAACTTACCTCTCTGTTGTGTCTGAATCTCATATTCAGCCATGTTGCATTTTTGACAAACATAAAGAATAAATCCTTCATTGTTAAGATGAAATATAGCTGTATGATCGATATTTTCTCGTAAAATACACTTTTTTGTTTTTGAACCACTTTCCGTTATTTCTAGATCAATTTTTCTATCGAAGAAAGCAAACGTCCATTTAGATTTAGTATTATTCCGTGTGAACGAAGGCGAGTAGTTATAATGGTCCATTGATAATAGAGCACCATAGTTCAATTCCAATTTAATCGTTTGAGATTGAAATCTTAGTCGATGAATTGCTTGTCTACGTACTACTTTTGGATCTGTTTGCCTCTCCAGTTCGTATGCTAATCTCGAATCATAAAATTGTAATGGTGGTTTAAACATAATCCAAAATGGACGATTTTTTTTTTGTAAATTGTAAACAGGAACATAATTGAGCTAGATCTATCCTTTGTTGTTGTGGAAATGAGCGTTGACTGAAACTCAATCCAAAATGATATTGCATTAAGTTGCTAGGAAGATCAGATGTGTTCAATTTTAAATATTCTTCAGCATAAGAAATTCCGTTAACTTCTTCATTGTCATTGACAATGATTGTAACCGCCTTTTGATCAACTGTCACAAATGATAGTTGCTGAACAATCGTATGTTGACGATCTTTCGATTTACTTCGATTTTGTTGGATCGGAACATCATTACGAGTATCACGTACTGTAGACATTCTTGCATTACTTGTACCGTAACTTTCTTCCTCTGCATCATAGCTATCATCTGTGGATTGAAAGAGATAATTATCTTCGTCTTCTTGGGAAGAATCGTGTTCCTTCACTTCATATTCCTCATCTGGAAGTTTTTCCCACACTGATACGTCACTTTTATTCTAAAAATATAAAATATGAAAATTATCTGATATTAGTGACGATACAGAAGGAGTATGTCTTTTTATAGAAAAATGTAAACATTGAACTTGCGATACTCAAGCGATTGCACTTAGGAACGGATTGTCAGCTGGTATCACTCAACGACACAAGCAAGGAATTGTTCTTCAAGTAGACAGAACTAGGATTTTGGCGGTCGATAGAAATGAAACCGAAGCGAATCGATAAGAATTTTTAACGAGTCGGTGTTTGGTCGGTAGTGTTTTTAAGATTTTGTGCATTTTCCTATATATTTTGCTAGAAAAAAGTAACTTTTTAACCTAGAACACGATGATTCTTTTGAAATATACTTAAGACCGACTGGTTAGGATTTTGATGAGAAGCAATAGAATTCTCTGTTTCATAATCTAAAATCGATATTTTAAAGTTCGCGCTGTACGTTGTTATTCATCCCTGGAAGACAAGAGCTAATTTCGAAAAGAAGCGCGGAAATACTGCGTTTTTATTCGCAAGAAATCCTGTATAATTCTGAAATTCTTTTAGAAATTAGCGGTGATATTTCACAAATACGATGAAAAGTTTTACTAGCTCGTTTAACAATCAACTCTAGCGGAAAATGGTAAAAAAACTCCTACAGAAAGGTATTATCAAGAAGATAAAAAAAGCATTTTTGGCCGTTTGAATAATGTGACTGCCACTGAAATGTTTCCATGTGATTTAACGCTTTTCTCTTTAAAACTTGTTTTACTAAACCCTCCTCATATTAGAAGCCCACCCGCATTAGAAGCCCAGTCTGGCAAGAAATTTTTTGAAAATGCCCCTGCCCCCATAGGGTACTTTTTGAGAAAATTTTGCCTTTCTTGCGGGACATAATAGAAGCCCACTGGGCTTCTAATGTGGACGGGGGTTTACGGTATTTCTGGATGATGATCATGAATTTGATGCTCATTGAGTCTGTGGTTATTTTTAACACTTATCCTCAGAAATCTAGTCTTTAGAAATCCATCTTATAATTTCAGTTTAACAGGCGCCGATCCCATAAGTTTGTAAAGATATTTCTTGTCTTATCGAATAAGTTTTTCCTTAAAAGAATAAAAACTATTTAAATAAAATAAACGTCAAAAAAATGAACGAAATTTCGAAGACGCGAGAGTAATAATTCTTTAAAGCCAGCAGAAAACTTAGTCGGTAAGTCCAAAAATTTTTCTGCAAACTCGTGGGATCGACGCCCGTAAAACTGAAATTATAAGATGGATTTCTAAAGACCAGATTTCTGAGGATAAGCGTTAAAAATAACCCACGCGTTCAATGAGTATCAAATTCATGATCATCATTACGAATTATTGTCAAAAAACAAGTTTTAAATAGAAGAGCCAGAGAAGGACTAACATATAACTGGCAGGGTACGCCGACTCGTCCGCGAAGTCACCCTTCTGCGAATAAAACTCTTTTCACGCTTACTCTCATGATGCTTACTGCCATCATATCTTAATTCGCTGGAAAGTCAATTCGCGCAAAAGACGTGTAACGCTCTGACAGGTATCAGTAGACACACGTTTCACTTCTAAAATTTGCATTGTGCATGTAGTAGAAACTGAGTTCTGTATTAAAATCTTATTCAGGTATATTTAGTACAACTCATGAAATAGTTTTGATACCCTAACGCAGGTTAGCACGCGTTAAAAATGTCTTTTTCAGAAAAATTACATTTAAACGGGTTTAATTTTCAGAAATCACGCGAGCTGACGC